AGTGCAGTCAGTAGAAGGCGTGTGAACTTGATTCTATTGAAAAGTGCCAAACACTGCTGATGCTGGAAAAATAAAAGTATGAGAACATTAGAACAGGCTCACGTGTACATGCAAAGCTATTAATACACGTATTTCCAAATTAGTCTTTGGAGCTCCACAAGGCACAAGAAATCACAGAGGCTGGATTTTAGTTTTGTTTTGACCAAGACAAAGTCCATTTTTGGGTATGTTTTTTTTCCTTCCATCATTATTATTATTATTATTACTGAAATGAAACAGGTAAAAATTCCCACACTCTAATAGACACATAGCAAATTATACCAGGCAGAGACTGAGATGAAGGGTTTATGGTTTCATTTGTGGCTGAAAAGGAGGGATACTAGGCTCAAGTAAAGAGTGGACTCAATCTGATTTGCTACTTGTAGCACTAAATGTTTTGTCACAAACAACTAGTGTTTAGCTTTCAGATGGTCAAAAATGTTATTGAAAAACATGCCTTTTAACAAAAAACAATCTGCAGCAAAAACTCCACAGAAAGAGGATTGGCCTGACTTACCTCCAGCTCAACCTCTGGGTTTCGCTGCTCACCCTGTCGACTACGGGTGCTCTGAGGCAGTAGAAAAGAAACCAATAAACAGTTTAATACTTTTACATTTGTATCAGCAGTGTTTCACTGAATTGACTGTGGCTCAAACTGGCAAAGAACAAGCACCTTAACTTTCCTCTGTAACTCATCCTCCACATCTTTCAGCATACCTGGTGGGAAGAACAAATGAGACAGAGAGATGACATCAGCTATCAACAGTATTAATCTGTAATTGCTTCAGTTGTCCACAGTACACGTGAAGCCGTAGTCTTGATAAACTATCACAATTCAGTACTTGTACCTGTCACCCGCAGGTCTGTGACATTATTGGCCATCTTGAAACCATAGGTCATGGCCTGGAAATCCTCCTACAGACACATATGTGGTAAGTCATCGTTCAGACATAAACTTATGACACAGAGTTATCGATTACCTGACCCATGAGGAATGTAAAAGCCTAGGCAACAACTCAAATACTGCCACACACATTTGCAAATGTTGTAGTGATGTGTAACTTCCATCCATTTTGATGCCCCCCTTTCAGATTTCAGAACAGTACAGTATCAAAGATGCACACACAGACTGTTTTTAGTTGCTTACCTCCTCGAATACAGCAGCCTTGTTGACTTTCTCTCGGGCAATGTCGCACACCTTTAGGATGCCCAGGGCAAAGGCTTTGAGGGCTGGCTCTTCAATCAGGTCGGGGTTATGGACGTATAGACAGGTGAATACAGTCTGCGCCAGGGAGTGACCCTCCAGCCATGTGATCTAAGAATGCACACAAACATGCACACATGAGTACTGGATTCCCCGTAGTGGTGCTGATCTAAAATTAAATGGGCTTTGATGACGATTTTAAAATCCCTGAGACTTCCCAGGAGTTTTCTGTCAGAAAGTATTTTCGTAACCCACTAACACTGCGCTCACTCTTATGATGTGCTTGTGGAGGGGTGCTACACAAAAAAGAAAATGTGGCCTTCATGTGTCAATCAAATGCAAATCTCTGTATTATATACAAATCCCACACCGTTTACAGTGTGAAAAAATGAAACTCACCAAACAGCAGAAACATGTGTCTATGATCCCGATGAGTTCAGGATAACTAAGGTCTTTCACCTTGATGGCACCTTCCTAGAATAAACACAAGAGAGTAATAGAATACTTAGACCTAGGTGGTTAATTATATTGTTTATATTAAACCAGACAATACAATCAGAGCTGTACATTTCAATTAAGAAAATCAGACTTTCTGTCTTACTTCCTGACAGTTCACCGTTTTCACTGTACAACGGTGACAGTGACAGGTTAGCGGTACTGTACCTTGATAGCTTGTTCAAAGTTGAGCACTTTCCTGTTGACCTGGTTTCCAATCATTCCTGCGTCCATCTTAGGATCCATCATCTCTATGGCTGACATGGCCTCAAACAGACCAAACCTGCCACCACAGCAGAACGCTTAGTGTCCAATTTATACGTGTGTGTGTGTGTGTGTGTGTGTGTGTGTGTGTGTGTGTGTGTGTTTATAAAAGGTTAAACAAATCTTAGATTCTGAATACAAATATCAATTGTAACATTTATGGACTGATCCAATATGTGGGTTAATAATATTGGTTAAAGGACCAGTGTGTAGGATTTAGTGACATCTACTGGTGAGGTTGCAGATTGTAACAAACTGAATACCCCTCGCCTCACACCCTCTTCTTCCAAGCATGTAGGGGAACCTAAAGTGGTCATGAAACTCACAAAAAAACGTAAAAGGTCCTCTCTAGAGCCAGTGCTTGATTAGTCTGTTCTGGGCTGCTGTAGAAACGTGGCTGTTCAACATGGCGGACTGACATATTGGATCAGACCTGCTCCCTCTATAGATATAAACGTCTCATTCTAAAGTTAATAAAAATCAAATATGTTTATGCAAGGATTAACAATCATTTCGTGTTTCACTGCAATTACTCTGTCTTGTCAATGCTATGACATTCCTAAAGCAGTATTTAGATTTCTGGACATTAAACCTCTCTACTGAAATCAGCATTGATACATTTTTTGGGAGGGTAAGAAGACTGACTCACGTCACCTAGCAGTAAGTGGAAAATGTGTTTTTGTCATTTGAGCGAACTGCTCTGTAGCATTCTGTCCTACTCACAGTTTGTCATGAAGCAACTCTCCAAGGTTCAACTCTGCATGAATAAAGCATGAGGACAAAGAAGAAGGAGAAACACATAAGTCCATTTCATAACCGCACACATCAGCACACACACAAACACAAGCAGAGGCTGTACCTTTGCATGCACCCTTAAATTCATGTGTAATATCAACCCAGTTGGCATTGTTCTTCATCTTTTCTGGGATGCCCAGCCCCCAGCCAGCATCATCATCCTCAACTGCTGACTTCATCACCATTGTGACTACTAAAGACAAACAAGGAGAGGAGAGAGAACTAGGACAAAGTGTTCATAATGTTACAAAATACCAGCTATTACAAATATTTTTTAACAAGGGGAAAATGTCAAACTATTTTGTGACAGGTTGGGACTCCCGGGCCTGACTGCAAAACTGATCATGTTGACAAAACATTAATTTAGGAAATGAACAATACTGCAACTCCAAAACCAGCATACCTAAATGGAATGCAGCTATTATGTATTTATTATTACTTGTAGTTAATTAAACCTGTGTTTTAGAAGCCAGACTGCCCACAGTAAGACAATTTTATGAGATATAACATCTTTGCACTAAATGAAAACCCAGCACTACATGATGGGTTAAAGTCAGAAGTCACTGTGATTTCAGCCAATGAAGATGCTCTGGTCTCATAGCATTGCAATGCAGTAGTCAGCTGTCTTTATTAATCATGACCTGAAAAATACATTCACACAATAATTTCTTCACTATATCCACTAGATTTTCCAAAAGCTAGCACTCTCCTGGCTAATCAAGCTATAAACATGCAACACAATCTACAGTCAGGTCACATACTCAGACGTTGTCTCCATGTGAACACTGATTAAACTCTTATGTTGTTATTGGACCTTATTGTGCAGTGAGGGTACGTCAATTGACCTGTGTATTTCATTCAATTCTGTCTGAATTATGATATGTCTTTCATTTTGTTGCAAGTTCATTGGAACTTTCTAAACTTCTGTTTCAATTGTTCTCGGTCCAGGTGCAAGCAGATAAGTCAGTCTGTTTTTGTGTATTTGTTCTGTGTATTAGTTATGTTATGCTGTATGTATGCTGTATGAAACCTTTACACATCAGTGTTTATACTTGACCTGTACTACTGGAAATCTGGACAGGCAGTATATTATGATCTAGGGCAACAGGGAGGATTAACATCATGCTCTGTGAACCGACTTGAGAACCTAAAAAGGTGTAAACTGCACGCACTGGAAAGTCTCCACCTTTTAAAACAAGAATGTCAGTACTGTGGCGGGTAATCCACCCCCTCCCCCCACACACATACACACTACTGTACAATAGATTTATTAATCTTTCTTATCCTTACATGGCTTTATAACACACCTATAATATATTCCGAAATAATAATAATTAATAATTTTACTTCTCTAAATCATTTTAAATTAGATTTATGTAACTACTTGAGCTAAGAGGTAACAACTGCAGTGATATTAACACACTGAAATCGATTTTACCTGATCACATGAAGGTAATTTATAATTACAGTTAAAGAAGATATTGAGGCATTTCATTCAGTCTGGCATTGGAAGTCATCTCACTGAGAGAAAAAAAGAATTTAGCTAACATAACAACAAGTTTATGTCAAACAAACACAAGAGAATAAGTCTGTGAGCTTTTCGCAGTATTATCAACACCAGTGTAAAGCTGACCCAAATTTGCAGTTCAGGTTGCTCATGCAAATATTAAAAAGAGATGAGATGCATAGGACATGTTTGCTACCGATCACCAACGTCAAAGTAGCTTGTAGTACCGTGTGCTAACATGCTAATGTTACCCACAGTGGATGTTTACTATGAACAAAGCCTGAATATCGACAGTTTAACTGGTCATTCAATTTGATCAGGTATACAATACATGAACACTATTATCAGAAAGCCATATTTTCGTTGTAAATTTGCACGTACCTTAGTATTTTCTATTTACCATGTAGCTAATAAGGAGCTCTTCAAAGACTGTACTAATTGGCGCATAAATTAAACGTCACTTGCCACTGTGAACCTGGGAAATGTAGTCCTTATATGTTATACTAAAGCTCCAGCCCCAAATGAACAGCGTATGGCTTAAAACCTGGCCAGTGAAGGTATAAATCTATATTAATGTTATAGGAAGTTTATGATGCACTCATATACAGTCTATGGATGCACTTCGGGAGCTTTCCGTCCCCGTCCTAACTGCGCCTAAAACCACACAGAGAAACGTACTCTCGCGTTTTCTTACACCGACAGCTGGTCTCATCACAACATCAGCAGGGCGTTTCAGGAAACGCACACAGCAGCAGCCCCTCTTATCTTGGAATTGGTCCTCCCTGAATGGGACAGCAGTTCCTTTCCAAACAGGTTTGTAACATCCTTGTTCTTGTTGGCATAATAAAGGCGTGTTGCTTTTGCTAACCCCGCGTGTGTGCTCTTGATTTAGCGGACATTCACAGCATATCCCTCCGTTAGCTAGCGTGCTCTGGCAGGCAGGCGGCCGTTAATGAGTGACTAGTCCAGCAGGTGCAACGGCCAGCAGCCTCAGCTAGGTTATCTCTCTTAGCATCTTGTAAAAACAGCCTTGCGTAGCCGTGTATTTTGCTAACAATAGCCTGATGACAGTGACTAACCCAAATGTCCCTTCAGGCTGGTGTTATGATAATAGCTTATCTTGTAACGTTAAGACATATCTTGTTTTCTAAATTGATTTTGGATTCTGGTTTGTGGAAGGAGGCATGTAAGCTGGCCCCCACAACATGTCAGTTTTACAATTGCTTTGTAGAAAGCTTCAGATCGATTATCCGCAGTAAGGCTCTTTATGGTCTAGCCTCTGTTAACCCCATACTTAGCTGAGATCCTCAGGTGTGTTCATCTAGTAACTTACCTGTCTATTATTTAGAAAGGGGTGGTGGGCTTCTGTAGTCTGACTCTGCAAACTTTGCAAAAGCCTGACTTAGTTAAAAGATTATATGCTTGATGGGTAAAATATGTCATTGTCATTTGAGCACATTGTAACCTTATTATAAAAGTCCCATTTAAAAAGACAAACAAACGTTATCTTTATCTGGCACCAGTGATGTTGACAGATGGCCTCACATTTTACTACAGCATTGTTTGTGATTCATCTTCTAGCAACCCATAAACGCTCCTGTATTCACTGTCTGACCTAATCTAAAACTCTCGGGAGACCTGCTGTTTGAAAATGCATTACACTGGGCTGTTTCTTTAGTCAATTGCTAGAATCTGTTGCTGAATGATGCAGTTTCCTTTTTTGAAATACGTTGTGGCCGATTGTCATTTGATGTAATGTAGCTGAACGCGAGTATTGCATTTTTCAAACGTGTTCAAATGACCTTGTCTGCAGGTCTTTTGTCTCTAGACATTTGAGATCTGCAGGGCAGCCCTCTTTGTTTTGTGTAAAATCAGTCAGGAGGTTCAGTGTATCTAATAGTAGGTCTGACCTGGTGCAGTCAATATGAGCTATCAATCTGCGGCTGCAGGTTGTCCCAGCACTCCCTGCTAGGCATACACCCTGGACAGTCATTAGTTTCTTACAGGACTAACACACATGTGCGTTTTAGATTTAGCGTTATCTGGTTTTGGCATAGTTGCAGGGCTGTCTAGAGCCTGCGATTACATCAGAGGGAGTTCAGTGGGATCTCTTTTGGCACAAGGGGTAAAGGTTGATTGTGCTCATTTCTAAAATTGTGCAGAATGTTTATGCTTGTCCTTTTTTTGTCAGCGAGGTCTTGTTGTCTTTCTCTTGCAGATGACATGAAATGTTGATGTGGGAAAAATGAACAAACCCAAAATGGCCACAGAGAAAGGGTGAGTTGCTTTGTTATTTTAATGTGCATAAGCAAACACTGCAGGCTGTGTGATGTGTGCATGTGTTTCTGTGTGAAAGCTGCTCTGTCACAACCATCTGTTCACATATTCTCTCACTGTCTCACACTGAATGCTTACCTTTACCCTCCCTGATGTAATCCTGATCTTGCACTAGTCTGCCTTTTTAACTGTCTGCACAGTGTCCCTACTGTTTGTTTTCTTGTTGCACTGTCATTGTGTGCAGAAGAAAGAAAATGTGCAACACAGCAGAAAATAAGTTGGACTTACTTAAACCTTTAATATGTATTTGTCATGATGACCAAAAAAAATAACATCATCTTTAATGCAGTGGAAATAGGCTTAAGGAAAAGCACTTTCAGTGTATTTATCCTCATCAAATGTGCACATTTATAAGATCATTTTCTAGTTAATCTGTGTTAATCTATGTGATTTATGCAGTGTGTTTATTTAAGCTTTACTTCAGCGTTTTCCTTTGTCCATACTTACTTTGGCATCACTTTTTTCATCATTCTTTCCATTTATCCATTTTTATCACACACACACACACACACACACACACACACACACACACACACACACGCGCGCTCTCTGACTTTATAAGGACATATGAGAAACTTGGCTCCACCAGCTACAATCCCAGAGTCTTGATTCTCTCTCATGTTTGCTGTTGCTGTACCAACAACTGACCTCTAACCTTGTGTTTCCAGCTGAGTGCCACTGAGCTAAGATTATAAGAAGAGGATGGGTCACTATCCCAGCATTAGTGAAGCGCTTGGAGACTCGGCTCAGTGTTTTTAAACGTGGAGTGCCAATTTGTATTTTTTTTAGCGCGATATTTCAGAAAAGGCTATTTTTGTCGGTTATTCATATGTTGTAAGACATACTTGACTCACTGTGGGCATATAAGGGCATTTGAGCATATGACAGGCTGTTTTAGGTTTGTTCTCCAGAGAAACACAGTGCTAGCTACTTTGACACACTTTTGTGATAAAACGGATCCATTCTTCTCTTATAGTCCTCGGTATGGAGCAGGAAAACATGACAGATTTCCATTTACTCTGTTGGTAAATACAGCATCATAACTCATTACGCTGTGTCAAGCTATAACGGATCTCTGATCTTTCCAGATGGGCTTGAATATGCAATATCCTTTATTTCTTTATTTATCTGTTCTTCCAAATGCCAATACAGGAATGCATTTATAAATCGTGTCTCATACAGTCTTCCTAAAGCTAAAAATGTGTGTGTGTTTCCAGTGTTCCCAGTAACTCCAGGGTACTGATGCTCTTGGGCCAACTGGAGAGGATGAATGGAGAGCCCATGGTGAGGGATGTTGAAATGGCAAGACAGATCACTGCAAAGATACTTCATCTCATACAGACACAGGGTGAGAGCAAACACACGCATGTGCTTGCGCGCACACACACACACACACACACACACACACAAAAATAACATGTATATACTGGACTCAAACAGAAACAATAAAAAATACTAAATTAGCATTTTTCTTGTATTATAGCATTTGTTCAGAGACCAGGGCGTGATGATGATAATAATAATAATTAGTCATTTAGCTGACACTTTTATCCTAAGTGACTTACAATTGCTATATATTTCATAGCTTGCTCAGGGACACATTGGTGGATGTCACGGTGGGAACTGAATCGGGTCTCCCACACCAAAGCATGTGTCTTATCCACTGCACCATCGCCACCCACAATACAGTGATATCTGTATAGCAATGTTTAGCTACGTGTGATAACCATAATGGGCAGTGCAGCCACCTCTTGGTACTTACGACTATAAAAAAAGTACAGTATAACCATTAAATTGCATTGCTGGCAGTGCCTCATACCTGAATAATATCCATGCATTGTAATAATTATTATGCAATTGTGTATAAAAAGTGAGTTGTGTTTATTACATATACAGCAGCACATAAGACATACAGAAACATCTCTCCTCCACACACACAAACAAACCTACCCACACTGATAGTTTCAGGTTAATATTAGCTAACCTACCTGGCATTAAGAACAGGCACTGAAAGGCACAGACAGTCTGTATATTGATTTCAAAGACTCTACAGATTTATTATTGCACTCCTATAATGTAATTGTTGCACTTTGTTGGATTGTGTAAAAAAAAGTATCAAAATGCATCAAAATATTTTGTTCATTTTCACACTCGTGGACTTCAGCCCCAACAGACGCTGACTCGAGTCACAAAGGGCTTTATACTTATTCACATATGCTGTAGTACTCCCCAACACCTGTAAACTGACTCTGAAGTTAAAATGTCTGCATGTAAAGCATCAGCTAGTCAGGTTGAGTTAATTACTTAAAAACGTGTTCACGGCTGTGTAAATAGAGATGGGTTAGTGCACCGTTAGTCAAAGTGTCGATGGATTGAGACTGTGTCTCCCGATCTGGTTCTCTGATTACTCTTTTGAAAGGGAGCAGAGAAGAAGATCTGACAGCAGAAGAAGAAGGCATTGTGCTCTGTCGCTGTGTAAAACATACTGAAACATGAGTGTGTCTCTGTTAGCAGGATGCCTCTCTACCTCTCTGAGCAGCTGGCATGAATAGAAATTACTGATGCAAGCATCATTGCTCTAGAGCTTTATCAATTAGTTTAAGGGGGAATGGTTAGTTTTCAGTGGCCACTAGCGGTAAGGTTTCAGATTGCAATCACTACATTCCCAACCATCTGCTCGTGCGCACGTTCAACCCAATGACCGGGCTAAAACAGAGGCCGACACACTGTGGACAGTGTCACACAAAATGCTGGAAGCTCAGGTATACTCCCACTGCAACATTACTGATATATTTTTATCTGCTTGATCAGCTGTTCAATAAGTATTTGTGTGTCTTTCAACGGAGAAGCTAAGAAATGTCATCATAGCTACATTTATTGGGTGATAACAAAAATGGTTGAGAGCAAGACTGAATATTATAAATTACATTGTTGCCAGACTTTAGTATAACAGTTAGACCGTGGTAATTAAACCAATGGATTTCATGCAAAATCTGACCCAATTTCTTCATATAGGAAGCAGCATAGTGGCTGTTCCAAGCAACCAAGAAAGCATGCGAATGGAACAATGTTATGTGAGGTTACAACCTGTTCACAAATAATAATAAAAAAGTTATTAATTTCATTAAAATACTACATATAGCCCTTAATTAATTTATCAAGCAAAAATTGTCAAGGAAAACATTGTCTGGTTACAACTTCTCAGATGTGAAGATTTGCTGCTTTTTTCAATGTTACATGTTTGTAAATTGAATATTTTTTAATTTTCGACCACAATTTGAAGACATGCAAGACTCTTGGACATTGAGGTGCATTTTTGTGCTACTGTTAGGACATTTTATAGACTAAATGATTATTTAGTAATTAGAACAAAATATAATCAAATCCACATTTGTGTTTGTATCTTATATTGATTTAGTGGAGTCTTTGTGCGAAGGTTCATTGTGGAGAGAAAAATTCTGCTGAAACGTTACTATTTTAAGCCTGCTGCCATACTTTGAACTTGCTTCAGAACTTCTTCCACTTTTCTTCTGCCCGTAATTTGTTGCTTCCTCCGACTTCAAAGTAACTCGTCATCATGACTGATGGGCACAGTGGAAAGGCTTCTGTCTGTGACCCTGTCAGTCTTAATGTGTCAGCTGTTCCTCTCTCATCTGCTGCTTGGCTGTCGGTCACTGTCTGCCTGTAGCCTCAACTTGAAATGTGTATGAGTGTGACATTGGTTAGGGGGAAGTAGGGGGTCCGTGACCCTTTTCACAGTAACTATACACCCGAGGACAGACTTTGCTGTACTCTCGCCTCATGTTCAGAGTATTAGGAGCTTAGGAGGCCGTTAGAGATACCAAGAGAACGAACGAAGATGACGCTGAGAAAGGAAAGTCAGGAGTGGCAAGTGGGGTAGCTATAAACTCATGTATCTGATTAATTAAGGAAAATATAGAAAATTACTACACCTTTTTGGTGTGTTTTAGTGGAGAATAAATCCAGTCTTAGAGGCAGCAGTTCTGTTTTTTCACTCTCATTTGCAGTCAGAAATTCAGTAAGAGAGAGAGAAAGAGTAAATTTTCTATTGGAGCAGTTGGCGGTGTAGTTTTTACTATTGCAGCTTCATAGTGTCCTGCCCCTGGTGCCCCGGTGTGTTGGTACACAGTTGGAAAGTTGAACATTAGAGGGCTAGAGAAGTACTAGTGAAAGTTTCAAAGTGCCTTTAAGCTTCATATAGGCTATTAATCTCTTTAAGTGTTTAGATTCATAGCAGACCTGCACTGTAAACCTTTTTAGGACTCCAGAGGCAATGAACCTGGGATTTTGGAAAAATAGGACATCTTTTCAAAGCGCTGGTGAATTTTGAGACCCTTGTTATGAAATGGAGTACTGCTACACCAGGAGATACTGTCAATCTGTGGCCTCCCCGGACCCTCCAGGTAGGGTCCAGAATGATAAAAATCTTCTAGAAAAAATGTTTTATGTATTGTAAATGCTTAAGATAAGTCATATTTAACCTGTCAGACTTGCAATAGCATTATCTATGATGGCACACATATTTTAAACATTTTTAAAGACTTTGCTCAGATTAGATGAGATTGGGAAGTTTGATTAGAACAATCACTCTGACTCTTAACCTCCACAGTTCATGTGGAGTACGTTCAGCAGTAAACCTTAGCTGACTAAGAAATACAATCACAAGACATGATGGTTCAATTAAAGATAGGTTTAAACATTACAGATCATTATGCAGACCACAATTATCTGCTTTACTCTTCAGTGCTGTCATAAAGCTTGGTTAATCTTTATTGAAACACAAATATTAGCAAAATAAAATCATTGCAAAATACAGTAAATGGATAAAAATTGCATCAAATCATTTTTACTTATATTTTTTTCAGTGATGTTTTGTGGACAAGTGCTGAAATGCCATTTTGTTTTGTAGAGCTTTAAAACGTCTGGCTCGACAGAAATGATTTAAGAGGTCGCTGCTCTCCAAGGCGCAGAACACCTGACACCTTACTTTTCCATATTCCAAATAATCCCCTGTGACATTGTAACTCGTCTTTGATGGTCGACCCAAAATATACAGGTCAACCTGCTGTGCTTGGAATAACAGCCCTCACTTTGTAGTACTATTTATCTTCACTTTTCTAAAATGTTTACTTTGTTGTGTGTTACAGAGAAGACCGGAAAAGAGGTGATGTCCAAAGGTTCCAGTGGAATGGAGGTCATCCTGGCTTCATTGGAGGTCAGCTCACTACATGACAACACTCTGACAAAAGTCATATTTATAGGACTACGCTTAATGTTAAAGTCTTTGTGCTAAACTAAGCTAACGGGCAGCCTCATATTTACTGTACAGTAGTGAGAATTGTATCAATCTCTTATCTAACTTTCAACAAGAAAGATAGAAAGGTTGTCTCCCTTTAAGACAACCTTCTAAAACCCAGTAGACATCCATGCTGTGAGCTCACTATATAAGCTCACTGTTTCAAGCACTGCATGCGGTGACATAAGAAATGCATACATGCCTTTGTGTAACCCTGGAGAAAGAAGAGGTAATTGCACAAATGTCTCAAATGTCTATAATTCAACATGTAGACATTTATATTATTTAACAAGTCTACTTTTTGTTGGCTTTGACAGAACAACCGGGATGTCCAGACCACTCTGAATATTTTGTATATTCTCAGTGAGCTGCTGACTGTGGGTGAGTCTCTCTCTTTCTCTCATGGCCTGGATGGATGGATGGATGGATGGATGGATGGATGGAATCTTTATTTGTAGAGCACTTTTCAAAAACAAGTTACAAAGTGCTTTAACAAGTGTAAAGATAAAAGCAAGAAAACATTGAAAAGACTAAATACACGTTTAAGATAAATATAAAATAAGTAAAATAGAAAAAATAAAAGGGATAAAATAAAGTCAAATAAGATCAGGAAAGGCTCTCCTATAAAAGTATGTTTTAAGAAGGGACTTAAAAGAGTTCACTGACTCAGCCGACCTGATTTCCTCGGGCAGGCTGTTCCAGAGCCTCAGGGCCCTGACAGCAAACGCTCTGTCCCCTTTAGTTTTCAGTCGAGACTCTCGAACAGATAGCAGACCTCTGCCCGAGGATCTCAAGGTACGTGCTGGTGTGTATGGGACTAAAAGTTCAGAAATATGACAAGGCGAGAGGCCATGAAGAGCTTTAGAAGTGATCAATAGAATTTTAAAGTCAATTCTAAAAATGAAGCTAAAATAGGAGTAATGTGGTCATATTTCTTTGTTCTGGTTAAAAGCCCGGCAGCTGAGTTCTGGACAGTCTGGAGTCGATCAATAGATTTTTGGGTTAAATGGGTGAAAAGGCTGTTGCAATAATCCAGGCATGATGAGATGAAGGCGTGTAAAATGGTCTTGGTGTCCTTAAAAGTTAACATAGATCGAATTTTTGCTATATTTCTAAGTTGATAAAAACATGATTGAACAAGCTTTGTGGTGTGCTGCTCGAAATTTAAATTACTATCAAACCAGACACCAAGGTTCTTTGCAACAGGCGTAATGTGATTTACTAGGGAACCAGCAGATGGCAGTATTATTTTTTGCCCTCTGTTGGGACCCGATGACCAGGATTTCTGTTTTGTCTGCGTTCAGCTGGAGGAAATTATTTGACATCCATTTTTTAACTTCACAAAGGCAGTTGTTAAGTGAACTCAGCATTACAGGGTCTGTGGATCTGACGGGCAAGTATATTTGTGTGTCATCAGCATAAATATGAAAAGAAATACCATGTTTATGGATAATATGTCCAAGGGGAAGCAGATACAAGGAAAACAAAATGGGTCCTAAGACCGACCAATGAGGCACACCATGTTTAACTGGACAGAATGAGGAGACATAGTTGTTTACAGACACGCAAAACTTACTATTTGACAGGTAGGATGAAAACCATTCTAGGGCAGTACCAGAGATCCCCACCCAGTGCCTCAGTCTGTCTAACATGATGTTGTGATCAATGGTGTCAAAAGCAGCGCTAAGGTCCAGGAGTACCAGGACTGAGCACATGCCTTCATCAGCAGACATTAAAAGGTCATTGGTGAATTTAAGCTTGGCAGTCTCAGTGCTGTGGTACTTCCTGAAACCAGACTGAAACTTTTCAAATATTTTGTTATTTTCCATTACAGTGAGCAGCTGTTTGGACACAATTCTTTCTAGAATCTTTGCAATAAAAGGCAGTTTTGAAATTGGTCTAAAATTATGTGGGAGGGAGGGATCTAAACCAGGTTTCTTTAAAAGTGGGTTCACGCAAGCCGTTTTAAAATAATCAGGGACACAACCAGTAGATAGGGAGCTGTTCAAAACAGAGATCAAATGGGGCCCAACAGAATCTATTACTTTCAGTAAAAACTTTGTAGGTATTATATCAAGTGGGCCGGAGGACACTCTCATTTCTGATACTGTTTTTAAAAGCTCAGACAAGTCGATGGGATAAAACTGGTTCAAACTCTCTTGTTGCTGGTGAGGAACCTCTGAGTAAGAGGCCGCGGGGGTAATAGAGGCTCTGATTGACACCACCTTATTGGTAAAATAAGATAAAAACAATTCACAGTCATCATTACTTCCAGCTGAGGCACAAGGAGGGGTTGGGTTTACCAGCTGATCCACAGTCTTAAACAGAACCTGGGATTGTGTTTATGTGTAGTAATGAGTTCAGAAAAATAGTGCGTTCTCGCATCCTTAACCATGTTATTGTAGTTAATTAATAAATCCTTCAGACTGAGGTAATGGACTTGGAGACTGGATTTTCTGCGCTCTGCTTTCCTGCATTCCCTTTTTAGGCTACGAATGCTGTTATTTATCCAGGGTTGCTTACTAGCTTTAGACGTAGGCCTAACCTTTAGAGGAGCAGTAATATTTAGTGACGACAAGCTGATATGATTGAAGTGATCGACCAGATTGTTGGTGTTGGAATCAGACAGGTGTTGGCTTTGGCTCTGAAAGAATGCGCAAAACTTTGAAACACTTTGTTCATTAAAGATGTGAGAACACACGGAGCTTGGTGAGGCGGCATGAGTAACAGGCGAATCGCAGCTAAAAACAATACATCTGTGGTCAGATATGGTCATGTCCACTAATTCCACAGAGGAAATGCTGACACCCAGGGTAAAAACCAAGTCCAGTGTATGACCACGGTTATGTGTTTGCCCTTTGACATGTTGTTTGAAGTTAAAAGAAGTGGCCATATTTAAAAATTCATTTGTATTAACATTGGTGGGGTCATCAACGAATATTAAAATCACCACAAAGAACAATTCTGTCATAATTTAAAACCAGAGTAGATAAAAATTCAGGAAGTTCTGAAAAACTTTTGGGGGGCGATAAATTATAACAAATATGATAGGTTGCAGCCCTCCAACTTTAAGAGTGAGAAGTTCAAAGGAGTTAAATTCATCACAGCGTACTTGATGACAGAACAACCGGGATATATCTCTCTCTCTTTTATTTAGAGATAGATAGATAGAGATAGATAGATAGATAAAAATGGGGAAGAGGGAGTAGATTCTAAATTTAGCTGGAATCAATAATGTATCAATGATTTAGTACCAGTTTATTCTTATGGACACATTGTTGTGATCACATTCAGATTCATTCTTTATTGTCCTTGGAGGAAATTTGTTTTCACATACTGCACCAAGAACAACGTTCAGCATGAATAGCATAATACACATTGTGTACACATATCTACACATATTACACTGAAGTGGCAGCTGCAACAAGTGGTGAGTGGTGGTGGTGTCTCATCATGAATTATGTTTTATCACATGTAATGCGGTTTCACTGGTTGTTTTCTGTCTTAGGTCGAGGTCGCAGGGTGGGAGTATTTGTGTCTAAAGGAGGAACAGGGATATTATTCCAGATTCTGATCACTGCCAGTAAAGAGTTGCCTCCCAGTGAGGAACTCATGCTGCAGCTTCACTCACTGCTGGCCAAGGTTGGCCCAAAAGGTAGGCTTAATGTCACAGTTTAACACAAACTAACTTACAGCACACCACTTGTGTGCTCGCATGGACGCATGTGCCTCCTTTTGTGTGCATAAAAAATACAAAATGGAGACTCATAACAACATCGATCTGTAGCGCTACCAGTGGTTAAAAGCTCTACAGGGCGCCAGACTGCATTGTTGTTTAGTGTTTTGCAGAAAACACTGAATATGTGATTGTTGCATCACTGACCTTACAACCTCTGTATGTTTAGACAGAAAGTTTGGAGTGAAGGCGCGTTTGAGCGGAGCGCTGAACGTCGCAGTAAACTTAATGAAACAGAACCTACAGAACACCAAACTGCTTCTGCCCTGCCTGCAGGTGCTCAGGGTTTACTCTACCAACTGTAAGTCATTTTAAACTTTGAAATCAACTTCTCAGAAAGTTGCAGTTCTCCCTGGGATGGGATGGGGTACAACATGATCTAAAACTGATAAAAATCCTGTAAATATTCTGGTTCAGTGTTTTTTGATGTCCATTTCTACTGACCTCCTCATATATGTGTCTCTTTGTAAAGCGGTGAATGCTATTTCTTTGGGCAAGAACGGAGTGGTGGAACTCATGTTTAAGATCGTCTCGCCGTACAGCAAGAAGAACACCAGCCTGCACAAGTAAGCAGTCAGTTGTTTTAATGAGCGGCATGAACGTTGTGTTTTATAAGAAACTAGTGACATCCACAGACAGCATTTCCTTTACCCCCTTCAGATAGTTTTTTTATTTATTTTTTTTACGATCTGTCAATAATGGTTGTTCATCAGACTCATTTGCCTTGTTTCTAAATCAACAGGGTAGCTCTGGACGCACTGGGAGCACTGCTTAAATCCAGTGAGTAATTTGCTTTGTAGCATTGACTTTTGACTCGTCAGTAGAGTAGTGATGTGTGATTAGTTAATAGCGATTAGTGTTTGTGTCCATGCAGTATTGCTCCTATCTCACCTCCATCATCATTAACCCTGTGCTTGTCCTTAACTGATTATTTGCTTAGCACTTAAGGAAACACAGTAAATCATCATTCAACATGGATTTAAAGTTCCCTAACTCCCAACTTTCCCCTCCACACGTTCCTTTCCTTTTCCTTGCCCCATGCTTCTCTCCCTCCTATTCCACATTCATAGTACAAGTTCAGGTACAAGTGATCACTGCTTTCTCTCCTCCCTTATCTCACCTTCTTGTGCAGAAACAAATGCTCGACGTGCTGTGGATGGTGGACATGTGCCTGTCTTGCTCTCTGTGTACCTGGACTGGCATCGCAATGACACACGGCATCGCCACATGCTGATACGCAAAGGGCTGCTGGTCTGCCTCAGGAACATTACCAACATCAAGCTCGGCAGAAAAGCATTCGTCGAGGCTGATGGCATGAGGATCCTCTACAACTCATCCACTGTGAGTGAGAATGCGACACACTCGGCAAACAAAGCATGCAACACATATGTATGGTACATACATCCACACTTGACTTTCTGTGGGGTTTTATTTCAAGGAGTGTCTCCCGGTGCGGACTCTGGATCCTCTGATCAACACTTCGAGTATTATCATGAGGAAGTGTTTTCCTAAGAACCGTTTGCCTCTACCCACCATCAAATCGGCCTTCCTCTACCAGCTGCCACATGTACCTGCTGTAGGTCCTGTGGCACAGCTGTACAGCCAGCCACCTGGAGGTGAGCGCACAGAACGCACTCTCTCAAACACGCACTTCACTAGAGTGTGCTCCAGCTTATCACAGTGTATGCTCGCACGCCTTTCATTGATGCACTACAGACAGACTCTTTTTATCACTCGTAGATTCAATCCTGCTAACCACACAGACACACGAACATTGTTATATCCCCGGAGCGACTACATGGTTAATGCTAGCGCTGTACCTAATGTCCTTTTTTTTTTTTTAACATTTGAAGCTTCTGTTGAGGTTTACAAAGGAAGATTCGAATGTCTGTGACGTCATCAACCTAAAAAGAAAGTCTTTGTCCTTGGACAAATTTTCTGTTTGAATGAAATGATTCATCAGAGTATTTTTTTCTTAAGTACAGGCAGAATGAGTAGGATTTAGTTGCTGCGGTCATTTTATGCTCATTTTCAGGTTCATTATTTTATTCATATGTTGTACCAGAACAGATTTACATGGTTTCATTTTCAAAAAACACCATGTTTTTGTCAGGCTGCACATTGCTGCAGCACCTCTTTTCACACTGTGTGTTGACCGCTCCATTTAAATTACGGAGTGAAACATCTTGCTTGTCTTTGGTCTTTGTTGGGAGTTGCACATGCACAGTACCCAGTTAAGTACTACTATTCAATCAGAAGGAGACTAAGGTGGGTCCTGACAAGCAGGTAACCAGGGCTGAGTTCAGCGCCAACAAAACGTTTTTTCCACGTCATCGGTGGTGCCTTGAACACCCTGTTGTGTACGCAAGCGCACTGCATTTTCTTGCCTTTTTCACACGGTTGTGTTTACAAACTTGTCACAGCTGATTGGGTAACACCTGTGACACGCCCATCACAAGCCTGTTGCGGAAAGTTGCACAACATTTCAAGAAAACATGTCGTTCAATCCTTCTGACTGCCTGAAAGGTATGTAACGTTTGGTAGGAAGAGTGATACATGTTACAAAGTGACGCAGATTTTCTATGGAAATAAAGGCTAGACTACAATTGAGCTGTTTTCAGGCAGTTCAGGGGCAGTATTTTTCTGTGGGAGATGGGAGCTTCCTTTGGGGTGGACTTTGCAAACCTATACACGCACAAAAAAATATAATAATAATAATAAATATATATATATATATATATATATATTAACACAACGCATAATATGACCTCTTACATGCAATTCGAAGTTGGCCCCATGCTGCAGACAGAGAGAGAGAGAGCAGCGGTGGTTGAGCCAGCTTGAGAGAAAACAAGTAGAGCGAGCAGCAAATCAAATCATTCAAAGCAAATCAACTTTGTCACAAATGCAATTAAACACAGAACAAATTCCTGCGCTGTATTTAACCCATCCTAATTAGGATCAGTGGCCAGCCACCGTGCAGCGCCCGGGGACCAACACCATATCTAGACTAGTTCCTTGGTCAAGGGCAATGATTGGAGAAATTAATCTAAACGTGCATGTTTTCAATGGTGGGGGGAAAACCCACATGTACGGAGCGGAGAACCTTCATGCTGTGAGGTGACAGTGCTAACCATTGAGCCACCGTGCTGTCCCATTAGTAAGCAGTGAATAAAACGTTTTTTTCTGATTGTTTCACAGAGGTTATGTTCTAAAGCACAAATAAACACGGCCCGACCCTGTGGGAAGGAGCCATGTTGTCAGAGTTTGTGTCACACAGACCTGACAGAGAGCAGAGGAGAGTGACAGAAACGGTGATGTAACCTGGTCGCTATGTTTTGAGTCCCGACCTCACACCCTGTGCACTGCAGAATGACTAGACATGGATAAACAAAAAGCTGTGCGGCATTCAAATGTTGATTTAGAATTTGAATGTCAGCGAAGCTTCAAACTATTCGGTACACTCCAAGCTAATGGCAAGTCTTGACAGTGCTGCACACAATGTGCCTTACAGGAAGAAAACTGATCAGCTCTGCAACAAGCCCTTAAAGAAGGGTAAGATGTATGTAAGACCCAACTCCACCCTCAGAAGACACAGACTCACTCACCGCTGCTTTGTCATTCACTAAACTAACACATGACATTTGTTAGTATTATAGATGTAAAGATGCTTAGTGCACATTTCCTGGTGCTTGCTTGCTCCCTCACTAGTAGACTTATCTACTTACTGTGCTCAACTAATTTGCGTCTTTGTGTCAACAGGCTGCCTGGTGAAATATTTGAGCCCTTTTGTTTTTTCCCCACAATCTGATCTAAAATAAAACATGTCCGATCAAATATCATCAAGTATGCTTCCTTAAATCTGCATGATGACGCACATGATCACGCATTTTATTCTTTCTCCTTTTATCTTTTGCAGTATGCAAAATTAAAACAGGAACTCCATCATAAATAGTTACAAACACCAGAATTTTGACAGCTGTAATTGGCAACAATAACCCAGTATTTGCCTCAGTCTTAGTGCAAAGTCATGTTGACTCATCTGTACTCCCAAAGTAACCCGACCATGAAGAACTGTGTAAAATAACAAGTTACTTGTATTACATAGTTAGTGAGATCACCAGCTCGATGTATTTGAAGAAATCACCGCTCAAATTTCTTCGGCCTCTCTCACTCATCTCTGGATCATGGCTGCTCAAAACTTTTTATTTTCCTTAACATTTTCTCTTTTCTCCATCACTCTTTGGAGAAATGATAAACTCCCAGCTTGGGCGAAGAAAAAAGGAACGAATAGGTACGTTTGTTTTAAGGACAGTCACCTAATAACTTCTGTGTGTGCGTGTGTGTACATACCCAGTGGATGACGTGTTGGATGAAAGTGACGATAACGAGGAGACAGACGTAGACACGGAGAACGATACTGAGAATGAAGAAGACGAGAAGGACCGGCGCTCTGCGGTAATACTCAGCAGTCGCATGCACACACCGCATTTCACATGAGAACATCACATGTTGCACTGACTGTTGAAAATGTTGAGTACATTTTCTCTGTATGATGGCGTTAAATACAGACGTCTTATTTTTTACAACATTTCAACAAACTTCAGAAAGGCTCTAGATATAGTATAACTGGCCCTAATTGGCTAATGGATGTTATTTCATAGATAGTAATTTTTTAAATTACTAAACATTTAATGTTGCATTGGCCTAGTGGTACTGCTATTTGGGGACTTTTTAATTATAATACTGAATGTCTACAGATTCTGTCATTTGGGGATAGAATTTCTCAGAGCTGTGTCAGTTTTATGTTGCTGCAATCCAGTTGCATTCCTCTAAATTTCCAGCAGAGGGCAGTCACAGCTCTGCAGACAATGCCAAACACTTGTATCCCTTTGTCAAATAATGTTAACCACATCTTATTTAAAATTACTGGTTTAATCAAAGCATTGTTCTTCCCTTACACAGTGTGAGTAAGCAATCCAGAGAGGCACTGACAATTTCCAAGCACTCCAAAATCCCACAAAATTTAAACAGTGACACAAAAGTGGGTTTTGATGTCTTTGTACAAGACTCAGTTTTGTTATATTCTTGTTAGCCATAGCTTTTTCTTGTTTTCTCCATCTCATAGTCCTTAAGGTGGCCAGACTTTTGCCCGACTGCAGTCAGACAGCACACAGTCTGAAGTTTTACATTTAGATCCATGTGTGTGCTCCCTGTGTCTTTTTAATCAGAATGATGACATAGAGACGGACCTAAACAAGCTACATCCCAAAAAGAAACCTGGGCGTCCTTTTGAGGAGTTGAGAGTCTATGAGAGGTTCTTCTTGGAGCTTTCAGAAGACTTCCAGGTCAGTATTTTGTGCACATGTTGACAAGTTTCCCAGTTGACTAACACGTCCATTTAAACCAAGTTCAAGCTGTTACTTGAAGTGTGGGTTGCTCCTGGGTATTTTTGTATATATTTTTTTTAAATTACATTTGCACTTGAATGCACACCTTCATGTCATAGTTAAAAGAAAAGTGTGTCTATTTAAGTCTTTACAAGTTGAGTGTGCGTTTACCAAAAACATTTCTGCTCCCTTTTTTTGAAACCGTATATTTTATTTCTACAGGGTTATAACTTTGAATGCTCAAAGAGTGTCTCTACCACATCTTCATCATCATCCTTCTCCTCATCATCAACCTCAGCTCAGTCCACTCGGCCAATCATAGTTCCCACAGCTCAATCCCTGTCCCCAAAGCACGCTCACATACCGAGCTCTCGGGAGGATTGCAACCTTACCAAAGGAAAACATACCCTGCCGTCGCCTTCTGTACCCACTCCTCCGGCTCCCCTAACTCCTCTAGAACTGGACACCATCCATCTCACCAAGGACCAAGACAAAAAACAGGAGGCCCACATTCCTTCCCCTGATGCACATGCAACATTGTCCTCCCTCTCCAGGCCTCCTTCTCAAGGGCAGATGATAGAACAGGAACTAGCACATGTGTTGGAGTGTGTCTGTATGGAAGAGGAGGGTGTTCAGAATGCAGAAGGAGGAAGGGGAGTCAAACAAGAAGGATCCCCTGTCAATGCCACAAGACACATACACTCTCCTCTGCTCTTGGGGGGTATCGCTCCCCGTCGTGTGGGAGGAGGAGGAGGAGGAGGAGGCGGCAGCAACTGGGGTTCAGATTGTGGCTCAGAGGGTGCTGAGGATGATGGAGGGGAAGGAGCGGTTCTGGAGGTGCCAAACACGGCGCTGCTCCTCCCGCTGCATGACCCCGACCTTTACGTCGAGATGGTGAAGGGAACACACTCTGTACCCCGGTACGCTGAAGTGGCTTACCCAGACTACTTTGGCCATGTAGCCCCAACATTTAGGGAACCCCTTGTGGAGAGAGTTTACGGTGTGCAGAGGTGAGCCATTTTGAAAGTGGTGGTTTGCAGAAATCATTCAGCGTACTGACAGAAGAGGGGAAGAGAAACCGTGCTATTAAAAAGATAAATTGGGGGGGGGGGACCAGACAGACATTTTGGAGCCTCAGTATTAGTAATCCTAGTAGTTTTAGTAATCCTTTTTTAAATGCAGTCATGTGGTTACATTCTGGGGTCTAAATTGTCTTTTCAGTTTGTTTCATCACAGAATGTGAGCTCCACAGGAAAGGCATTTCTCATAGCTTTTTGCGTTCATCCTCTTCCAGTATAAAACAATAAACAATATATTTAATGGAAAACATGTTTGTCCATTGTTTTGACAATGCATTTGTTTGTGGATCCAACCCTGCAGGTCTAAGATATTCCAGGACATTGAGAGGTTGATTCATCCTAATGATATTCTGGATAAAGTAGTTTACGACCTGGACATTCCCAAGTGAGTTCCTCTTACTGAGTCTGCTACCCTAAAGCGTTGCATTGCACCACTCTGGCTAAATGGAGCTACAATTATGACTTTGTTGCTGGTTCTTCAGCATTTGTGTTAAAGTGCTTCCCAGTGACATAAGCTAGTTTGTCCGTTTTCTGAGAGAGCTGGGACATTGACACGCAGACTGGCTCAATTTATCATCCATACATTGAGAAAGGTATCATGTTTCCCTCGTAAATATTGTTGTGTTACAGTTGTCCTGTGATTGAAGACAGTGGCGAATCACTGAAGTTCAACTCTCAGTTTGAGTCTGGCAACCTCAGGAAGGCAGTTCAAGTTAGGAAGTAAGTATTTATTGTCACATCAGTCACAGGGAAACGAGTAAGAGTTCGACATGTAGATGTGCTCTTTTAAATTAAATCACCTTTTATCACATTAATAACATTTAAAACTGTGGCTAACTTTTACTATATTCAACCTACTTCTGACCTGAAATTTACAGAAATTAGATTAAAAGTAAATGCTTATGGATGATAATATATTTAAAGTTTATGTTGTGGTGTTTCCCTAGATATGAGTATGACCTTGTGCTGAATTCAGACATCAACAGTAATCACTACCACCAGTGGTTTTACTTTGAGGTGAGCGGCATGCGCGTCGGAGCTACCTACCGTTTCAACATCATCAACTGTGAGAAGTCAAACAGCCAGTTCAACTACGGTGAGATGCACAACAACATGTGGATGAAAGCAAAGTGAAACACCCCGCAGTTTGTCATCTGTGTTGTTTTTAGACTATCCATGTGAAGTCAAATGTAACATAAAAAAAACTAAAGAAACCTCAAACTGGTGCAGTGTTTCACTTGTGTTTTCCTTTCGCCGTGTGTGTGTGTGTGTGTGTGTGTGTGTGTGTGTGTGTGTGTGTGTAGGCATGCAGGTGCTGATGTACTCCGTGCAGGAGGCGATCAGTGGCAGGCCTCGCTGGGTCAGAACAGGAACAGACATCTGTTACTACAAGTAGGTACACTCAGAAAGCAGCAGACCTGGGGATGTGTTAAATTAAGGAGAAAGGCAAAAACTACCTAATAACTGTTACAATTACATGGTGCAAGATCACAGTCTTCATGCAGCATACCAGTTTTGCCATACTGCACTATAGTGTATTAAACACCTTGTATCTCTATACATCTTATATAGCTGTAGAACACTCTCGCCTATGTATTTAGTACAGCAACATTTCCTAAAAGCTTCCTTTACAGAAATGGGGACACACACTTTCTCAGCTCATCCACAAATTTAGAAAGTAGTGCATGCATGATGTTAAATTCACTCAGTGGCTAATTTATTAGATATATCTGTAGACTTTAATAAAATTGATTACAACTGTTCTGCTATGAAGTCTGCTTTGATGATGCCTATAATCAGCTTTTGTTGACACTGGTCAGGTGTTTGTCCTCCCTTTTTATGGACATTATAGGGGCAGAATATTAGAAACACCCCTCAATATAATGCAATCCAGTACAACACTTAATTTTTTTAAAACTATGACCTCAGTAAATTACATAGAATTGAATTCCCATATTTCACACGTAGAAGTTATGGCAGAGCTGTTTTTTGCAATTGATTGTACAGGTGTATTTAATAAAGTGGCCAATGAGTGTAAGGGTTGTTGGCGCTTTATTGTGCAACTCATGAAATGTGTCTCCTTCTCCGTAGGAATCATTTTGCCAGGAGTTCCATTGCAGCTGGTGGTCAGAAAGGAAAGTCTTACTATACAATGACCTTCAGCACAAGCTTCAGCCACAAGGATGATGTCTGCTACTTTGCCTATCATTACCCTTATACATACTCCACTCTTAAGGTACCATTACAATACTACTGTTGACTTTAATCCAGAGAACACTAGCAATTAGTAGTAGACACATCTTCGATTGTATCCCCCTTCTTGTCCATATTGTCTATAGGTAATGGTTTTGCTTTCTACAAAAACTATATATTTTCATTATACTCACTTATTATACTGAAATACCTTAACCTGAAACATGATATTGTTTTGGTGCTGCATGTACTCGTACAGTAATTATGACTATTCTCCTATTGCTAAACCCCCAGTGTGGCCCCCTATTCCACTGTTGTGTTTCCAGTGTTTTTATAATTTATATTTCCTTTAAATCTGAACGTAGATAACTACTGTGCTTTAAAGTTCCTGTGCACTCATTATGTCAGTAGTTATGTTATTATACTTGCAGTTTGTCTGCTTTTATCTGGAGTGGCTTTTCTGAATTGCTTATAATACAAGCAACAATAGAGAAGCCCAATCTGAATCACTTCATCCCAGGTGGCCTGATAATCTGCCAGTGCAAAAATGCAACATGTTGGGCATGTTAAGAAAGGACGCTGTAGCTAAGATGTTAGTAAGTGGAAAGTAACAGTGATTTGTCATTCTGTCATTGTATCCTCAGATGCACCTGTCCAAACTGGAGGCTTTGAGGACCCCTCAGATATACCTGAGACAGGACATCCTGTGTGAAACCCTGGGGGGAAACAGCTGCCCCCTTCTCACCATCACTGCCATGCCGGAGTCCAACTCCAATGATCACATCTGTCAATTTAGTAAGTAAATCGATCATGGTCTGCATGTGTCTTTTTATTTCCTTACCATCACTCTCATACCTGTCCAGAACAATCACAGCTGCAGGATTTTCATATCTCCTAAAAAAATGGAAAGCGTATGTAGCTTCACTGAGCATGGTGATCAATTTTTTATTGTTTGTACCCAGGACTCCCATGCTCAGTGTTAATAGTGAGTGGATACCCTGGTGAGATAACGTAAATTGAAATTCATTTTGAGTCTTGGAAATGACCAAAAATATCTCAGAAATAATTCAGCTGTCCTGGAAAAATGTTTAATGTGCAACAAAATCATGATCACAGCGGTATGCAAGCTGAAACTAAAATGTATTTTACAGCTGGCAGTTTGAAGGCATTGGTAATTGGCCATAATCTTAAAACATGTAATATCTTTTGTGTCGTCACCACTGACAAATGCACATCTTTGATGATGAAGTTCATTCTTGACCTTTGGGAACACTCTGTGTAACAAAATAATTGAAGCTTAAAGGTCCCACCTACCTTTCTGAGTTTTCAACCAGATCTTAATGACTTCTTCACCAAACAAAGCTCTTTCAGGGCTGATAGCTAGTAAGTGCAGCTTTTTGATTTTAGATTATTTTGTCAGAAATAGTCGTTATTTAGTTAAAGCTTCTCCAGGCCTTTGATTTGTGATCCCTCATGCTTTGCTCCTGGATAGTTCTCCAAAATGTCCTCTAAGAAATTCACTAATAACGGACAGATTTTATTCCTCTCTCACTAATGCTTGCAGGAACATGAGGGTGAATATCACTACGTGAGAATAGCCCTGGGGTATCGGAGCATGCCAGTACTTCCCAAATAGCTTGCACTGTAGTTCACTGATGCTGTTTATCAGCTGTGAAAAACTTTAAATGGAAAAATCCTTTCCTTTTTTTTCTCACTCCATCTTTCTGTGTTTGTGCCGCGCTCTCCCTGTTTCTCCCTCTTCAGGGAACCGTCCATTGATCTTCCTGTCGGCCAGAGTGCACCCTGGAGAGACCAACGCCAGCTGGGTAATGAAGGGCACGCTGGAGTTCCTGATGGGCACCAGTGCACTCGCAGCCAGCCTGAGAGAAGCCTACATCTTCAAGATAGTCCCCATGCTCAACCCTGATGGAGTTGTAAATGGAAAGTGAGTAAAGATGCATCTAGAGATGGAAAGAAATAAACACACTTTCACAGCTTTCAAGTGTACACACCGATGATGCACACATCTGCCGAACCTGGGCCTGCGCGTTGGTCACAGCTTTATGTCTGTTAACACACACAGAATCTTGTCTTGAAGAATTCTCTAGCTGTTGCTCTGTTCTCTCTATCTTCCCCTCTTCTGCCGTCTCCTTTCTGCTGTAGTCATCGTTGTTCTCTGAGTGGAGAGGATTTGAATCGCCAGTGGCAGTACCCCAATGCTGAGCTCCATCCCACCATCTACCACACTAAGAGCCTGCTGCAGTACCTTGCACACATACAAAGGGCACCACTGGTATGACCTCTAATTAACTGGGCTTAAATTTAGCACTTTGCTGCATTATCTTTCATTTGGGAAGTAGAAAGGATCTCTCCTGGCTTCTTGTTGATGTTGGTGCCGTTTCTCCTGTTCAGCTGCACACCCTGTTTGGCTGCATGTCCACTAAATTTCACATGAATATATCACCACATTAGTTTGAAGACATTAATACAGTTGCCATAAACAACAGCCTCTAGGGGTCTGTCTACTACACTGTGTCAGCAAGTTAGATATAATAGGATATTGCTTTTATGGGAGATTAGTTTAATGTGCAAAGGGTGATGCCTTTACGACAAAATGCAAGGCGAGGCCGCTGTCCTTCCTCTAATAACAGACCTAAGAAAATGTCTTTTGAGGAATATGAGCAGTAACACTGACATGAGTCCACCAGTCACCTTGACAGTGTCATTTATTTAAAATTATAACACAGTATCACAGCTCATTTGATGAAGATTAGAGAGTGAATTTATTTGAGGTATTGTAACTGTAACAGCCTGTTTGTTTGAATTTATTATTTTTACATAGCCACTTATGTAAACACATTTGTAAAAATAAAGGAGATGACTCCATCATTTTGGTTCACTGTGTCTTACTGAAACATTCAAGGCAAAATGCATTGTAATCTGTGTGTGTGTGTGTGTGTGTGTGTGTGTGCGCGCGTGCATGCACAGGTCTTTTGCGACTACCATGGTCATTCCAGAAAGAAGAATGTGTTCATGTACGGATGCAGTGTGAAGGAGACAGTCTGGCAGTCCAGTATCAGTGCTACATCCAGTGACTTACAGGAAGACCTTGGATACAGGGTGAACCAACACTCACACACACATACACACACATGCTGTGCCTGTAATGCACGCAGAAGTAAATGAACACTTAGAGCTGGACGATATGGCGAAATATGTTATCAGGATAAAAAGTTTCATATCTTTCGATATCGATAATTATCACGATAAGTATCAAATCGTTATTTCTTTCAAGATTAAAGGCTAATTTTTCCTCCTGAGTGAAAGTTGAAGAAACTTGATTGTTAATTGTGGTTTAAACTCTTTTTTTTTTTTATGGTCAACACTTGATGCCAAACAATGGATCACTTCACAGTTCTGAGGTAGAACATTAAAAACAATTATAATAAAATCTTTGTCAACAAATATGCATGAGTAAAATTAGGTAAAAGCTTTTTTCCCCTCACCAAAATAAACATCTTGATTTAAAAAAAAAAAAAAAAAAGTCCTAAGTTATGTATGATTCAAGTGAATAAAATCAAACATTTATTGAATATTTATGGAACATTTGTTTTATTGTTATTGAAAATATGTCGCAATAATTATTGTTATTGTTTTATTGTCCAGCCCTATGTTTCAGATCACTGTTCTCACATCAATGAATAATAATAGCATAGATTCAGTACAAAGTGATCGCCTTTATTAAGTAGTACTCATATTGCCGCAGAGAGAGAGAGCAGCTTATATTTTCATCATCACATGTCTATCCTGTATAGTCTATGCATTGCAATCCAATTTCTGTATCCATCACTGTAGGTCAGGCTGAAGCAACATTTTTGCACTTGCAATATTGTAACATTATCCTGTTTTGAGTTACCTGTGTCACTACTATGGATTATCTAATTCTGTTGAAAGTTTTAAATCCCTAATCTCTAAATGTATTGATACCAAATCTATTTTCTTTTTTTACGCTGTCGTTATCATGTGTTTCAATACGAGCTCTTTTCTGACAAACATTTAGTAATTCACCTTAAAAGTTAGGCAAGACTGTTCAGGTCAGAATCATTTTGATGTTTCTTTCTGCATTTGGGAATGCAAAAAAAAAGTTTTCACTGAGTTGAATGCTAATAAAGAAGCCAGTTCAATACAGAGTTTCCTAGCGGATGTGTAGCTTCAGGCTACAAGCCCACAGCAAACATTTTGGATTGCAACGGTCAATACTGCTTTCCCAAGCAACTGCTCTGTACATAAGTCTCTCTTTTATGGACACAGTTATTTGTCTCTACTATAAAATGTACTTGATTATCTCTCTCCCCGCACACACACACACACCTACACAAAAACATCTCAAACATTTTGATGTGTTTTTCAGGCACTTCCGAAGATCCTCTCCCAGATCGCCCCAGTCTTCAGCATGGCGAGTTGTAGTTTTGTTGTGGAGCGCTCCAAAGAGTCAACCGCCCGCGTTGTTGTATGGCGAGAGATAGGAGTACAACGCAGCTACACCATGGAGAGCACGCTCTGTGGTTGTGACCAGGGCAAGTATAAGGTAAGCTTGTATTTTATTTTGTTTACAGGGTATGCACACAAAAAAGAAAATGCCCAATGTTATTTTTTTGTTGAGATTCTGTTATGGAGTTGTTTTTTTAAATGTTTTCATGTTTTGGGCATTTTGTGCCTTTTTATTATATAGACCATAGAGAGAAATGACAGGAAATGAGTGGAGAGAGAGATGGGGGCCCCAGGAAGCTTTTATCATTTGCTTATATGCTAATGAATGAGCTGCAGTGTGAGGAGGAGGGCAAATTATCCACAGATATTTTCCTTTCTGACAATATCTTAACAAAAAAGTAACATTATACAGAGAATAATTGCTTGACTAATGTGTCTGGTTCTATCACGTTGTACAGATGTTTTATTGTGATGTGCACACCATGTGAGAGAGAGGGAGGTGCTCCTATAAATCTCCAAATGTCCACCAGGTGGCGCTTTAGTCCTTATTTCCACTTTCTCTTTGCTTCGCATGTCCTTTCTTCTTCTTTCCTTTGACCCCTTTACCTCCCTTTCTTCTCTCGCTCTCATGTATTGTTGCTGATTTCCTTCCTGCTGAATTCTGCCAATGTCAACATCTTCCATATCCAGAGGCAGTCTAGGGATGCCATTTTGGCACTGATTAGTACCCCCACTGGTTTGTGTGAAGTATTTATCCAGATGTGCAGGAACTAATGTCTACTGAATGTGAGCTGCATGTCTCTGTGGCCAGGCTAAGTTTAGATGTTCCTACCACTGCTACGGGGACTTGCTGTGTGTATATATGTGTGTGTGTGTGTGTCTCACTGAATATTCATTTAACTGGCTGATTGTACAGCTCTGTGAAGACTTTGTTGGGGTTGCAGGTGTGAGTGCATATTCGTTTGAATGTGTGCCTGCCTGCAAATGAAATACATTATCATGTTTCTACATGAAAAGTTTCCTCAGCGAGTGCTTTCCAGCAGTGAGAATTGGGGTGTTTGAAGATGGACAACAGCTCCATCCCCAGGCTCCAGAGCAGCTATAAAAACCACAGCTGCCATTTTAGAGCAAATTTCTGTTAGACCGTTGAAATAATTTTTTGAGTCTAGCAGTACATGCAAGTTTGTGTGATTGCAATGTTTTTGTGGTGTGACACATTTTAATTCTCTTTGATGTGCACGCACATGTCCTTTTCAGGGTCTTCAGATCGGCACCAGAGAGCTGGAGGAGATGGGAGCTCAGTTCTGTGTGGCCCTGCTGAGGCTGAAGAGGCTGACGGGGCTCCGCAACCACCAACACCTGCTGGATTTGGAGAGCGATATCATTGGGACACAGTCTAAAGTGGTCAGGTTAGTCGAGTGGAGCACACTGCAAAGTCACAACCACAAACCACAACACACAGTTAATGCAGGTGCACACAGATAACTATTTAAAGATATAGAGTGAGAGAGAGAGACCCAGCCACCGTACTGTCCAGACCCGGACGTACAGCCGATCTATTATTGAGAATTACTACCTCGTGACGGAGCGTTTCTATTTTAACCCACGCTGCTTTTCTAGCATTTACTGTAGACCAATTGTATGTGCTCTAATCGTCTCATGTGATGCTGCTCAGCCAATCAAATCTGTGCATTCCGATAAGCATTGCCAGAGCCGTTAACGGCCCTGAGCGAGCATTGCGAGTCAAGTCCGCAAGTGAGATAAGACACACAGAGGAAGAGAGGAGACGAGAGAGAAAAGAGATTTCACATGGCTTTTAAACAAGAATGTACAGAGACTCGCATGTACATTCTTCACGCCAGAAGTTCAAAACCAGAATATCTCATGTATCTCCAATTATAGCAAGACAAGCCAAAGTTCACGTTTTTCAATGAACAAGAGAAAGTAGGAAAGTGGTATAAGAGGGAATGAAAGAGAAGAGGAGGTATTAAAGCTGTTCATTTATTAAGATGTGTTGAGTGTTAATTATAAAATTGGTTGAGACTCAACTTCAATCACTCAAAGCTAGTTTTTATTTTTCTGAAATTGAGCAACAAATAAAATTAATTTCTTTTAAGATGCACATTTAGAAAAACTTTTTTTAAATGCAGCCATTAGATTACTTAAATTTAGAATTTGTTATTAGAGCAGTTATTATTTATTATCCCTTCAGTTTTATGTGAAAACTGACATGACGGTAAATATTGTTGAAATAGTGTCTGATTTGACCTTTATATACAGTCTATGGATTTGACAGTCAGTTGTTGACTAAAAACATATGGAGATACAACTAGGCTATACGTTATGGTAGACTACTGAATGATAACGCAAGTTAATGTTCCGGACCTTTGCTTCGTGAAATTTTCTCTAACTGGACCTCTTTGAATTTTAATTGAATATCCCTGCTTTAAAGGTTAGAAATGCAGTTCCCAAACAAACAATACATACTTGAGGAATACATTCTGTGATCTCATAGAAACAAGAAAGCAGGCTAATTTCTCAGAATTGTAAATTCAGTATTGTTATCCTCATGCAACCTTCCCAAGATATCTGAGATTTTGAAAGTGCGTTTTCTGTTGCCAAAGATCCTACCTGGAGAAGAGTAAAAACGATTATAGACTTTCCTTTTCTTTTTTTTTAAATGCACAAAACACCTTCCTTACTGCCAGACACGTTCCCACTTGGCACTGGCACTAAACGGTGTGAATGTCACTCCGGATTTCCTCTGAAGCACTACTCAAGAAACAAATGAAGGTCTGCATTTATACAGGGCTGCCTTGAGCATCATTGAAATTCTATCAGTGTATGGTGGATATAATGAAAACTCTGGAGTGAGAGGGGAATGGGTATGAATAACTGTCAGTAGTGTGATTATTTAAGAGATCGTTAAACAGCCACAAGATCTTTGCTTTTGTTTTCTTTTGATGAAGCCGTTTACACCTACGCGGTGGGGGTTTTTGGAGCCACAGCGAGTAGTCGATGGCACCATGTGGATTAAATGTACATGGAACATGCAAACTAGTGCGCTGCCTTCCTGCACAGTCGCTTATAGCTGGAATATATTAGTAAAAAGCAGGAAAGTGTCAGAGCATGTCCTCATCCACTTAAGTGCCAGTGCATTCAAGGTATGGCAGTATTGAATATGATCAACTCTAATCTCACCCGTCAAACCATTACAATGTAGCTTTACACTGTTTATACCCTTTTGTCACACCATGTTTGCTTTGTACAAGAGTATCAGCAATGATTCATTAAACAGGGCATCTTGATTATTGTCTTGGTGTTCACAGCTTAATGCTCTGGGCCTGTTTTTATCAAGCTTCTCAGAATTACTCATAAGAACACTGCTAAGAACTGATTTACGAGTAAAAAAATTCTTGGCTCAAAGTTGTGCTTAAAAGTTAGTTATTAAGCATCATAGTCCTACTTTTAGTGAAGTGTAGGACTAAATCTTAAGTGTCAGTCTTAGTGCTGATTTACAACACTTTGCTGCGCCGCAAACAGGTTTTTGGATGACGATGTCGCCAAGGACCAATCACTAAATAGATTTCCTTCTTTAGAATATTCTCAGATAAATTCACATTGAATGGTGAAATTCCTAAGAGGAGTTTATATTCAACACACATTTAACAATAAAGAATTTTCAAGATAATACATTATGATATAGGCCTGCACATTAATAAATGAAAGATAAAAAAAGTTTATCTTTATATGGTTTATATATCAAATGTGCATACTACTCCTGTGAAGTCAGTTATTTGCATGAACTGTGTTTGTTTCTGTCGGATTACGGGGGGTGGTGGTGGTGGTGTTGTTGGTGTTGTTGTTGTTGTTGAGATGACGTCCCTCACCAACTCGCTGACAAAGATAATGCCTGCGCGGTCCGACCCCATCTTATTAACTGCGCGTCGTCAGAATTCTTCCTCTCGTCTTCGCATGTCTCTGTCTCCACAGTGCCATCACAAGCCCTACTGGCAACTCCTAACCACTTGAGAGACCTCTCGAGCTGTCTTAAATAACTGGGAGAGTAAGAGTGATTCTTAGCTTTGAGAAATTTGATAACTTGCTTTTATTCTTGAGTTTAAAAGTAGGAGTAAATTTCATGAATTCTCAGCACTTAAGACTAAAATGGCACTTTGAGAAGCTTGATAAATACCAGCCCTGGTCTCTCTCCTTCTGTCTTTGCATAGGATAAACAATTCTACTGTGTTTGGTTTGCTGTGTGTGTGTGTGTGTGTGTGGTTATAGTACTCATAATAATAATAATAATAAATAATTAATTAATTAATTCCCCTTCACATTAGTGCTGAAAAGATTAGTCCATTAGTCACTCATCAGAAAAGAAATCAGTTTTGGTATTTATCATTCTGTGGTTGTAGCTTATCCAAGGATTTGTTACTTTTCTCTGTTTTAAGACTGTAAATTTAATATCTTTGAGTTTTACACTGCGATTAGAAATTGACATATCATGCTCTGGGAAATTGCAGATTTTTTTTACAATTTTATAGGCTAAACAGTCCCGTGATTAATTGATAAAATAGTTTATAGGTTATTTAAAACTGAAGTGAATGATTAATTGCAGTGTTACTTAAAATAGTTTTTTTCTGATTTTATTAAAACCTAATAAATAAAAAAGTATTGAAGTCAGAAGCCTCCTCTTTACCACACAGTGGGCTTGCTGAAAATTCAGAAAAGTATCATGTTGATAAACAATGTTTTTGAGCTTTTTAACCCAGCCAAATGATAAAAAAATGTTAGTTGCACTAAAGTTTCTCCATCCGTATTTTAATAAATGGCTTCACGCTATGAGCCAGCGCTTCATGATAACAAATGACCACATTGCTTTAGCGTATATCAAATCAACTCTATTAAAATGTGAGGTCCACACAGATTAGACTGTACTTAAGTTCAGGGCCGCAAATAAATATTTAAACTTGGCCAAACCCAAGCTGTGACACATAAGGTTATCTTAATTTCTTTTCCTTTTTTTTTTTTTAAACATCAACGTTCACTCCAGATTTATTAAAGCAGTGGATTTGGAAGAATGGCTTTAAACTCAAAACCACTTAATACTCATGTCTCTCTCTGTGTGTCTCTCAGTCTCTCTATTTCTCTTCTACCAACCTCTTCTACTCTCATATTGATATATTCATTCATCATTTATGTGTCTGATCATTAAGGGACTCCAAAAGTGTTCTGGGGCTTGTGTGTTTGCGTGAGTGTCCTTTGGGATTTGGTTGCTCTTCATCCTGGATTTATGGTTTTTATGCATGGGCCATGGTATGGTACCACTTACCATTTAATAGGTCATCACAACGATGATATTGTGGCCATTGGGAGGCGTCTGCAAATAACTGGGCGTCTCAGAGTGAGTAAATGGGTGCATACGGGCATGGGTGTGTTTCTGTATGAGTGCAAGGCAGACAGAAAGAGATGTATGTACGTGAGGGTTTGGAGATGTTGAGCTTTATCCACATGTGAATGAAGGTAATTGGGGGGGGGGGTTATGCACATACATGCATCTGTATATTAAGATATACTGAATGTAGAGATGATGGATACGGAAAATGTAACCCAAAGAAAGGAGAGATCGGGTTTGATTCTTCTATAATAGCTTGTAATGGCTGACTCACAACTCTGATTATCTGTTTGGACAATATTCTGTCCATCATCACAAATATACACACACACACACACACACACACACACACACACACACACACACACACACACACACATTTACTGTACATATACTGATGCACAGTTTCTCCCTCGTTCTCTCCCTCTGGCACTCTCACTGGTAAGCTTGGTTGGGAGATCATTGTCTGAGCCCCCTGATCGACTGTCTCTCTGGGATCACATTTCAGACCATTAACACCATTAAAAACCCACTAAAGCCACTAAAACCTCAAAGAACCATCAACCATTTAACCATTAAGAGTCACAGGGAAAAAAAACTACTTGTCAACAGTCAGAGCACACAAGTACAGTTTGTTTCCAGCTTCCATTTTGTTTTAAAATATATTTTAATATGTATAATTTTGTAGTATAAGTTGTTATTTTTTTACTAAAATGTTTGTTTTAATTTTTTATATATTTATATTTGTTTTGCTATTATTTAGGGCTGAAAGAATTACTCAATTAGTAGATTGACAGAAAATTTATCAATGAAAAGATGCCAAACATTGTCTAGTTCCAGCTTCTCAAAATAAAGGATTTGCTGCTTTTTGCTTTTTTGTAAACTGGATATCCTTTAATTTTTGACTATTGGTGAGACAAAACAAAAAAATGACACCTTGGGTTCTTGGGGATTTGTGATGGGCATTAGTCACATTTTATAGACTGAAGAATTTTTTAAAGCTGTAGTATGCAGTTTATTTCAGAGGCATTTTTGTTATATTCGTTGAAATTCTATAATAATCAATAAATCAAATGCCACGACACAGAAATGAAAAGAATCTGGGACCTGTGGCTGTCGCAGGACTGTTGTAAGCACGGCCAATCATTTCATTAAATGCTGGGCTGGCCTACCTGTCTGTCCACCCCCGCGCACTCTGCCTGTGCACATTAATGAAAAAGTGTTTTGTGGGAGTGGCTTTGGAAGGAGGCCTGAAGGGAAGAGAGAGAGATTTATAAATTTAGCTGTCTTTTGCTAGTTCTCCAACATTGTCATCTTAAATAATCAATTAATTACTTAATTAAAATATTGCTACTACTGCGGTATTTTTTATGATTTCATTAGACTTTGTGGTCATGCTTTATAGATATACTGTAATATAATGGCAGATTGATTATGATTTATGTTTTTTAGTTTACTTTCTTCTTTTTTTTCCCTAAACACATTATAAAGATAATATCTATCCAAATAAACTAGCATATTGATGATCCATTTTGCATGAATGGCACAGTCTGTTAGGTTTGTGTTTTTTGTGCAGGAATAGGCTTCTCAACAGCACATTTTCAAGGACCACGAAACAACCATTCAGTTTCCCTTTCAAATGCATTTTCTTGGGTGTTTTACTCTGAAATCCGAACGCTCTTTAGTGGCCTCCCATGACTGAGTTCAGCTAACATGACATGTATTTGTTTTTAAGAAATGCTATACAAATGTGTATCATTTCTTACATAGTTTCTCAAAATAATGAATGCAGAAATACATTCTATAATGTAAAATATCCACAGGCATCAATGGTGCAATGATGCAGAGTTTTCCCTGTGACACGATTATCTACACCATTAACTTCCAGAGAAATGTCTGTCATCCGCAACACCTGTGTTAACGACACCTTATTTTGTTATCCAGCAGCAGCCCCACTACCTATGTGATGGAGGAGGACGAGCCGTCCTTTCTGGAGGCGATAGACTACAGCGCAGAGAGCAACGATGAGGACGGCGAGCCAGAAAATGAGCACACCGGCGAAGTTCATGAGATTCCCGATCACCTCGATCAGCTGTCAGACTCTGAGACAAATCACCGGGACTAACGCTGAGGTGTTCACCTCCTCTGTACCTGGCAGTTAGAGCTTATAACCAGCCAGCGCTTGGGTTGTTAGCTGATGTAAAATGAAAGATTTCGCTGGTAAAATAGTCCAAACCCACACTTCTCACTTTGACTGGTGAATAAATAGCTTAGATTTACACCTGATCCTATTATATAGATACTTATGATGGTACGTAGGATAAGTTGGCACTGCTCAGGTGCTCTTTTCCCAACTGTGTTGCTCCAGAAGGTGCGTACTTCTCCTGCCTTTCATGTCAGACAGCCTGATTAAAGCCCTCACTAAGCATCGGGATTTCAGTGAATGTTCTCACCTTTCACCGACATACTATAACCTTCATGAACTGTATCCCCTGACCTCAGACACCATATAGCCTGAGATTCACATATTGCTAGCCAGAGCAGCAAACAGCAGGCACCGCTGATCCTTAACTTGAACCCTCGTCCACTCGCTCATTTCTCACAGCCGATCTTATACGGAAGCTACCTGACAAGGTTGTGGTAAGTGTAATGCAGCCTGTGGCTTCTCTAGGTACTGTAGTTTTTTGAAACCCCTTTCTCACCTGTGGCTCTGTGTTTGATTAAAACACTCCTGGTGATGGAGGAAACTGGGTCTCCCCCCACTGACCTGCTTAAAGATCCAACCAACCTGCCTTCTTATTTTCCTTTGCCCTTCCTTTCTTTAGTCTCACACTGCACTTTAACGTTTTACTCCTTTTGTTGGTTTGGGCATTCCTAGTGTCCCTTCTCCCTTCCTTTTTTTCTGACAAGCCAAGGTGTCTAAATGGGATGCAGGGATGAAGAAACAGCTCTGTGTCATAGCTTAGCTGCAGGTTAACACCACTCATCCTGAGCATTGAACTATGACCTCACTTCCTCTCCTCTGTAACCCCTCTTCTCTTCGGCTGCAGTGCACGAGGTCGGATCATTCACGTGCTGTTTGCCTCGCTTTATCCAAACCTGAAGCTATTTATATCACTCAAACGTAGAATGTTCACGTCTTTACCGAGACAAACCTTGTAGATAGAGTCACACACCACAAACTCAGCAGTAAACATGAAGCTGTAATGTAAAATATCCATATCCACTGTTGGTGTTTTCATTGTTTTTAAATAATAGACAGTATTAAAATGTTAGATAAAGCAGTAATGAACAAGACGCATGAGCTGCAGAGAGCAGAAAACCCCTTTTGCACTTTGGATATATACACTATACGCGCAAAACAAAGAAACAAACTGAGAGTGAAACATCACTTCACAACATGTCACATTTTGCAAATCTCAACTTCAGCCACCTCATTAGTTTAGTTCAGCCCAAAGCTGATGGTAACGTTGCTGTGATGTTTTAAAGAATTATACTGGAATTTCCTTTCCTCCAATCTGTGTACATTTTGTGGATTTGCTTAGGAGAGACCCATGCATTAAAACCAGATGGTGCTTTGTTTTGAGAGTATAAAGTAGTTTGATGGAGTATTTCTTTATTTGTTTATGGAGATGAGGTTCTCTTGCAGCTAGTGCATGGCTATTTTCCTCTTGTTTTTATTTTGTAATTTAATAATTTAAGTCTTGTATGTATATTAGGCATTTTGAGTGTGTGAGTGCAAATGTGTGTGTGTGTGTGTGCGCAGGAGTTTAAGTTCTTCCATTATTCAGCTCAGTTAATACTTTTATAGTGTGTTTCTTCTTTCAATTTGATTATCCCCTCTCTCTCTCCTTCACTCCACCCCATTTTCTCTTTCCTTCCCTCAAACCTCTTTCACTCCCTTTTTCTGTCTGTCTTCCTCATGGCTCTACTTTCTTTCAAATCATATTCATGGACATCTTATAAACCCAGGGAAGTCCGTGTTCTCGGTGCGTGTGTGTGTGTAACGAATATATGATGTGAAATAATATCGGTACCCTCTGAGAATTGTGTGTGCTGTTATGTCTGTTTGTCCGTAGCAGTTTTTGTCGACAGAGTGCTGCGCTACTTTTGTTTTCTGTTTTGTACCTTTTTTGTTTTGTTTTTTTGGAGGTAAATAAGCAGAGATAGCAACTCATTTTAAGTTGATTGTAATGCAGAAAACTGAAGCTAAGAGTGAAGCTGGGAAATAAAATGTAAATGTGGTAAATTGTCTGCTTTGTTATTTTTCTTGCCTGCACATTGGAGTTCAGAACAGTATGTGCTTTGTGAGGTTGCATTTATTTTGTTTTAAGTCTGAACTGAATGACCATTAAATTCACTTTAACATTTGTCCTTATGTAGACCTTTCTCTCAAACGTGTTGTTTGTAACTGTAATGGATCCTAACTGAGTTATGGGGAGAAGTGCTGTGATTGGCTGATCCAAAACAACAGGGAAATTCTTTTTTTCTTACAACCTGGATCATATTTTCATAGTTGATGTTGGTTTAGAAATAATTGGGTTAAACTTGGCTTGTGTAAATAATCACTCATGTTTTCAATGTCCCATTCACCCAGTTGTAAGGCTGTCTAGTATTTTTGTTTACGGACCTGTTTCTCTGTTAGAATATCTGGGACAAATGAACTAATAATAATATGAGTAATAATTTACAAATAATTTTACATAGGGTATACAGGGTTTAGAAACATTACAGGCAACGTGATAGCTATGTTTGTTTAAGTTAAGTATGCTGGATGCTTAAGGTGAGGTTAGTGTTGTAGTGGTACAAATCGGGGGCTTTACACACATGCACATATGTATATTTGGAGCACTGTTGTTCGCTGTGATTGCTCCTCCTATACATTTTGAAAAGGGTCCTTCCTAAAGCCATTTCGATGTAAATGTTGGGGGCACAAATCCACAGTATTCATTCCATGCAAAAATTTATTTTAAAGTTCAACGAAAGTTAATATGAATCTTCAGCAGTTTTGAGTTACACTAGGTCTCTTCGATGTGTTACTATCCTGCCACCACTGTGCAACAAGGAAAGAATGTCTCTGGAAACACAGATGAGATTTGATACTGAAAACAACTATTATAATAAGTTATTTTGTATTAAAATGAACTAATAATGACCTCCAACATCAAGATAAGCAACTTATTATTTATTTAAAAATTGTCCTGCTGTACATTGTCCATATCTCTCCCCTTTTAACTTTTTATTTCTGAATCAATATAGATTCTTTAGTTAGACCATTTTTTGACTAGCTTATCTTTAGAGATGGCAGTGGTGGAAGAAGTATTCAGATCCTTTGCTTAAGTAAAAATAATAATACCACACTGTGAAAATACTCCAGTACAAGTGAAAGTTCCTCATTCAAATCCTTACTCAAGTAAATGTATGGAAGTAATCAGCAAAATGTACTTAAAATATCAAAAGAAAATGTACTCAGTATCCTGTAGTTCTTGACCAGGTTTGCACACACTGCAGCAGGGATTTTTGCCCACTCCTCCATACAGACCTTCTCCAGATCCTTCAGGGTTTGGGGCTTTTGCTGGGCAATACGGACTTTCAGCTCCTTCCAAAGATTTTCTATTGGGTTCAGGTCTGGAGATTGGCTAGGCCACTCCAGGACCTTGAGATGCTTCTTATGGAGCCACTCCTTTGTTGCCCTGGCTGTGTTTTTCGGGTCGTCATGCTGGAAGACCCAGCCACGACCCATCTTCAATGCTCTTACTAAGGGAAGGAGGTTGGTGGCCAAGATCTCGCGATACATGGCCCCATCCATCCTCCCCCCAATACGGTGCAGTCGTCTTGTCCCCTTTGCAGAAAAGCATCCCCAAAGAATGACGTTTCCACCTCCATGCTTCACAGTTGGGATGGTGTTCTTGGGGTTGTACTCATCCTTCTTCCTCCAAACACGGCGAGTGGAGTTTAGACCAGAAAGCTCTATTTTTGTCTCATCAGACCACATGACCTTCTCCCATTCCTCCTCTGGATCATCCAGATGGTCATTGGCAAACTTCAGACGGGTCTGTACATGCGCTGGCGTAGTGTGTTACTAATGGTTTTCATTGAGACTGTGGTCCCAGCTCTCTTCAGGTCATTGACCAGGTCCTGCCGTGTAGTTCTAGGCTGATCCCTCACCTTCCTCATGATCATTAATGCCCCACGAGGTGACATCTTGCATGGAACCCCAGACCGAGGGAGACTGACCGTCATCTTGAACTTCTTCCATTTTCTAATAATTGCCTCAACAGTTGTTACCTTCTCACCAAGCTGCTTGCCTATTGTCCTGTAGCCCATCCCAGCACGCCACAGACTCCAACACAAACTCCATGATAAAAAAACTACCAAAAAGTTGAAGCCCATCAGGCCAAGCGAGAATCGCATCAACGTCAAGCGAAAACACGCCTCAACTTTGGAAAGGTGTTTGAGTCATGGAGAAACCTACAGTTTGTTTTCAAAAATTGACCCAGAGTTGGTTTTCATCCTATTGGACAGGAAAACTAACATTACTGCAAAGTATGTGAAATATATTCTGATTCTGTGTTTTAGTTGGATCAAGTTAGATAACGTTAGCTTGCCGGCTATGTCAGTGTAACTTATCATGCCACATGCATGGATTTGATTAATGTCGAGCTGCTAAAATTATTATTCCTAATGTTACAGTGGAAGTTTACCTGAGTTTCCAGCATTTTGTGTGATTCCGTCTATGTTATGTCTCTGTTTTGGCCACTACAGAGCGCTAGCTGGTGCAGGAGCACACACTTAGAAGCGTAGTGGTTGCAATCTGAAACCTCACCCGTGGAACTGCATGAAAACTACACATGGCCCCTTTAGTATTCCTGCTGCATTAATGTGGATGTTGCATTTTACTGCTGTAGATGTTTAAGATTGAGATCATTAACTACTTTATATACTGTTGGGTTGTTAAATCTAAAGCAATGCAATATATTCTATAAGATCATCCTGTTTGTAGCGTTGTCGCCCCGTCAGAACCACATGTCTCTAAAAAACCTGTTTTCAGCTTTGACATTTTCCTGCTAATCCGATGTTTTTTTTGTAAAAACTCCTCAGTTAGTTTTTTTGTCAACAAATTCTAATACCTTGCTTAACTGTTGCTTTAATGCTACATTATTTATTTATGTATCTATCTATATTGTATATTTCTGTCTGCAGAGGGAAAAAAAATGGCACAAGAGGAAATTATTCTTCCTTAGGCAGATGTATTTTTGAGGGTGATGAAAAGATCTTTTTTTCAGGCGAATGCAGCAGTTAAATCTAGAAAGAAGGGGCTTTGAAGACCTGATGTTGTAATTCTTTGTCCTCATTTAACTGTTGGTGTGCAACACCTAGCTTGTCACAGAAGCCATGGTAAAACTGCCTTATATCGAAGCTATGGCGTGAACCTGAAACACAACTCCCCAGGTATCAGCAGCACTACCTGGTGAAGTCTACGAAGCACTGTCTGGGTTTAGTTTGAGCTGATTTATTTCGGGGCTAATAGAGTATAAGTAGGTGCTCAATCACTTCATGTCAGTGGCACAGATGAACAAGCATTTGTTCGAGTAACCTAATCCTTTGCTTGTGAGGAAACGTGGTGAGGCGAGAAGGGGGCGACAAAAAGGCAGCACAAATGTCTTTAAAATAAGTACTGTATGATGCTGAATGTCTATGGATATAATGGATATAAATGGACAGAAGGATGCAGAGAGAAGAGAGAGAGAGTGAAGGCAGGAGCGGAAGAAAAAAGCAGAGGAGGATGAGAGGAATTTGGAGAGGTGGAGGAGAATGTTAATCTGAGGAAGGCAGCGCAGAGAGAAAGGCTCTTTTCCTCTCTAAGCCCCACTCCCTCACTTCCTGTCCCTGCTGTCAATCACAGCAGCTGAAGTGCATCAGACAAAAGAGCCCCCCTTCCAACCACCACCACAAACACCAACCAACCAATTAACTACTCTGGTCAGAGGATGGAAAGTGTGTGTGTGTGTGTGTGTGTGTGTGTGTGTGTGTGTGTGTGTGTGTGTGTGTGTGTGTGTGTATTGCAGGGTGGAGGGTTTTGAACTGCTTCGGTATGTTTCTCATGTTCATCAGAGACCCCTAATTAGAAGTCTCTCTCCCTCTGTTTCTCCCCGTCTCACGCATTCACGCAGGCACCGTGCCCAGCCTCCATCCTCACACTGACGAGCTAATTTCTGTAGTCAAAGTGTGACTCTGTGGGCCTCTAATAGCGTAGCCAATTAGTGCCAGTGTCCGACTTGGCTGCTTCCCTAACTCACTGGTGGTCCCACTGAGGGACAGAATGGCTCCTCTGAAAAGGTACAAGTCCACAACGAACGGCCTGACAAAGACGTGTGTGTATAGTCTGCATGTCACAGCAGCACACAAGAATGGAAAAACTGTGTGTGTGTTTGATCTCATTGTAATTCAGCATGAGAAAAGTTAAACAGTATAAGCTGTTACACATTATGAAGGTTGAATGGTTAAAAACGGTGCCACTAATGGTGCGTAATTCAAACACATACTCAGTGTTTCAGCCCGAAACCAAAGTATTGTTTTCACATCTAATCCTCCAATACAGACTTTTGCCCCTGATATTAATAATAATAATAATAATGATAATAACTGGAAATTGTTTGTTTAAATGGTAAGATGCAAAGATAGAATATATAATAAAAAGGAGTGAAAAGACAGGGCACAGAAAGAATACTCACTGCAGAGATGCAAGTTCATGGAAATAATTTTTTTAGTAAGAGATTAAACCGAAGTCAATGAGGTAGCAACACAAATTTCAATAGAGAGGCTGTTTCAGAGTTTGAGGTGCTGACAGCAAATGCACAACCTTTTTCAGTTTTAAATCTGGACTGGGGAAATGCAAGTGGGGTTGTGTTTCAGGATTTGAGGTTTAATGCGTGTAAGCAGAGGCACAATGCTGAGCAGTGTTCAATATGCTGGAGCCAGACCATGGAGTGCTTTAAGAGTAATAAGTAAAACCTGAAAATCAATGCAAAGAGGCGCATCTCTCTTGTTTTTGGCATTAAAGGAATGTTCTAGCAATTTAGTATTGCACGTCCATAAAGGAGGGGGGCGCACAAGGGACAATATTTTTTAAAAGAATGGTCAAACTCGAAGCAGCAGACAATGAGATATCTTGACTAGATCCCATAATTCTCATAATGCTACTCAATAGCATCTTTCATGAAACCATCCCTGCCTTCGAAAGGCCAAATTGTTTCAAAGCCGATGTCTCCACTTTGTAATGCAGGCTGTCTGTAAAATGTACCTCATGTTTAAAATAAGTGTACTGTCCCTTTAAAATCAAAGCAACAATTACTCATTAGTAGAATCA